CATAACGTCTTTTGCAAGGACGAAGGGGTCGTCTCTGTATGCGGTCTTGGTGAGATCAACGGTAGTGAACCCTTCTCTATCGGTGGTGATTTCCTCAAGCGGACCCACTAGCAGCAAAAAAGAGCTACCTTCAACCGACCATAGTCTAGCTCCCATATCTCCTCTATGAAACCATAGTACGTCGCCTGCATGTTGTTGTTTTCATCGTGAGCATCGAAACGAACACCACTGTTTTGGTATGTGCTCTTTCCATCTTGCTTTTTTATAAAATGTAAATCCATTGATCTCATACCCTTGATACTTAAGCAATGTACTCAAAGGTCCCTTGGCTAAGATATCCAGCTGATTATCCAACGTTGTTCCAATCAAATGGCATCGCAACAAGCTGACAAATTCCTCCTTATGTTTTTTATCAAGCTAAGCCTGCGACCTGCTCAGATACAAAGTTTGCAGCGATTGCCTATGCTCATCAATGTATGGCATCACATCCTCTGTTTGCTAGAGAACAACGAACTGTGCCTGTCTGAAAGAAACGGGGTCGTCTACTGTGATAGATTTCTCCCCGATCGTTCTTTTGCCACCTAGTCTTCCCTCGTGATGAGATTCTAGAACTCTGACCCTATTGATGTCCAGATAATATGTGCAGAACTCAATGGCCTCCTCCATTGACCATCCTTCAACCATGCCCCCATCCGGCCTGAATCTGTTCCTAACATACCTCCTAAAAACTTTCATCAACCTTTCAAAAGGGAACATCTAATGCAATTACATTGGGCCAAGGGCTCTAATTTAGTCAACAAGATGAACGATCATATGCCCTAAGTTATCAAAGTAAGTCAACGGAAATTGCATCTCAAGCCTAACGAGAGTTTTGGCTACGTCCCACTATAGCTGGTCTAGCGTGGACACATCAATGACCATTTTTGAGATCGTGTTGAAGAACAAGCATAGTTTTATGATTGGGGCACCGACCTTTGGGGGAAGGATACCATGCAGGGCAATAGGGAGCAAGCTGAGTCATAATGACATGATAGTAATGGGCCTTCATATGGCCATAGTTGAACTTGAGTTCTCTCATGTTCACTAGCCTCTTTAGGTTCGCACAGTAGCCCGTCGGGACTTTGAGTTCATTGAAGAAAGAAACAAGCACACGCTTTTCTTCCTCCTTCAAGGTCTACGACGCAACCGGAAGATTGAATTGGCCATCCTCTAGCGCCACGGGACACAGCTCCCTCTTGATTCCCAAGTGTTGTATGTCCAGGCGTGTGGCTAGTGAATCCTTCGTTGTCCCCGTTGTCCATCAAGGTGTTAAGCGTGTTACCGCACACATTTTTAGTAATGTGCATGGGATCAAGATAGTGGCTTACACTCAGCACTGGCCAGTAAGGTAGTTTCTAGAAAACTGATTTTTTTCTTCTAGATGCTCCCATCAGGCACTGTTACTGTATTGTCTCCCTTCCCAAGGACAACCTCTAGTTTGATGACTTCTCGAAGTATCGCAGGCCCATCTCGATATTTGGGAGGTAAGCGTTTCTCAATAGTCCCATCAAAATCTTTTCTGTTCCTGCAGTAAGGGTGATCCTTAGGTAGGAACCTACGGTGTCCCATATAAACTATCTTTGAGTTCTTTGGCAGATGTACCGCATCGGTGTCGCCCAAGCACTCGACACATCTAGTATAGACTTTTGTCTTCTCTCCGGACAAGCAACCTTGACCTGACAGGTCGGTGATTGTAGCGATAAGTACTGCCTTGATCATGACATGTTCCTTTTTGTACTCATCCCAAACATCCCCCACACCCTTTTCAAATTTCTCCACTAGTTCAACGATCACTGGTTCTAGAAACACATCGATGTCATTCCCAGGTTGTCCTAGTCCTTGGATCAGTAGTGGCATCTGGATGTACAACTGCTTTATACAGAGTCAAGGTGGAAGGTTGTATATACAGAGCATCACTGGCCAAGTGCTATGATTGCTTCTAACCTGGTCGAAAGGATTCATCTCATCTGTGCTCAAACCAAACCAAAGGTGCCTTATCTCTCCACCGATGTTCTTATAGAACATAGTATTGACTATCCTCAAGTCCTTCTCATCAATGGGGTGCCTTATCATTGTATGTTTTTTACACTCTTCGCCATGCCAGCGCAACAGCTTGGCTGACTTTGCACATGAAAACAGCCTATGCACCCGAAGAGCTATAGAGAAATATCAAACGACCTTCACGGGACCTCCTCTACTCTTGGTACCCTCATATGATGGCCCTTTCTTATACCGTGGAGCTTCACACTTGGGGCACGTATCCAAGTCTTTGTATTCGTCTCCATGGTACAATATGCAATCATTAGAACACGCGTGGATTTTTTCAACCTCGAGGCCGATGGAACACATCATTTGCTTGGCCAGGTATGTCTTTTCTGGCAACTTATTTTTTTCTAGGAGCATTTTTCTTATTATACCTAACAACTGATCGAAGCTTTTTTCGCTCAATTTGTTTGTCGATTTGAACTCTAACAACATGATGACGGCTTCCAATTTGCTCATTGGATAATTCTTATACAATGGTGTTTTGCCATCTTGTCTCATTTTCTCTAGCTTTCTCGGCTGTCTTTCACTAAGACATCTGGTCTCTACATTATGTAGCAGCTGAGAAATGCCATCGTTATCCTCGGTGTCGTCAGCTAGCGTATTTCTAAACACATCATTAACTATGGCCATAGGTTCCGTGTTGACACCGGGTTCCTCGTCAGCATCATGGATAACTACGTCAGGCATGGTCACATCATCATCGTTTTTCTGTGGAACATTCACACCAACCTCACCATGCATAGTCCATATTATATAGTTTCGCATGAGCCCCCTGGTAATCAAGTGCATTCATACAGACTCAATTTGAGCCCATTTCCTTTGATTCATGCAATCTTTGTATGGGTAGAAGATAGGGTTCCCATTCCTAGCATCTACCGCTTATCCGTTCGGGACAGATGCATTCACTCTCAATTCATCTCTGCACAAAAAAATATTAAGAAATTAATTACGGAGAAATTAACAAGAAGTCGAGCTTCATGAACAACAATTGTAGCTCGAAAGTACCATTTATTCTACACTTATTTAATTTAGTCATCCTATTTTTGAAAAACATTATTGTACACTAATTATTAGAAAATTGAAATTGGTAGCCCCGGCCATATAAATTGAAAATCGTAGCCCCATAAAAACAATGATTGTACAATAATGAAGAACAATTATTCTACTCAATGCCACATTAAAATGGAGACACTAATTTTTTTAAAAAATACTAAAATTTGAGACATGACCATAAACAACAATATAGCTCCAAACAATGTGTTGGTAGGTGACACATGGATTAATTTGCTCATCAAAATTATAAAAGAATCTACTCTACTCTTATTAAGAACTAATTATAGCATCACATACTAACAATGATCTTGACCACCATGTAATTAGCTAGGATTTTAAATGTGTTCAAAGACACCAACCTTTTGGATGATGGATTCACCACAATTTGCTTGCAAGCCTTGCACAAAGTCCAATTGAAAAGTGCTCTCTAGAATGGAGAAGGAATTAGAATGAGAATCAAGTAATGTAGCCATCAAAATAACGCTAATTAAGCAACAAAATCAAAGGAGTGGATGCTTGTTACTAACCTTAAAGCAAAAAGATAAAGCCATTCTTCCGAATCCAAGAGCTAGCTTCACAATGAAGAGCAGCCGCAACAATGGAGGGAGCGGCCCAAACGCGCACCTCTGCGCTCGGGATGGAAGAGAGGAGGAATGAGAGGACGGCGCTAGCTTTTTGTAGTGCTATTTTATCACCATCGGTTCTTGACTTGAACCGACAGTGATAGCACAAAATCACTATCGGCTCTTGGTTAGAACTGGCAGTGATAAGTGGCTGCCAACTCACTGCCGGTGCAAGCCACAAACCGACAGTGACGTGGTCTTTCACTGTCGGTTTTAGCCCAGTCCCAATTATTTTCTCATTTTCAAGCTCGGAACCGACAGTGAAGGTATATCACTGTCGGTTCTCACAAATCCAGCAGTGATGAGACCGACAGCGATGTCCAAATCTGTAGTAGTGGTGAGAAGCTAGGAAAATCATGTATGCTTTGGTGGTGCAGACACCGGGTGAGAAACCTGGCTACCAAATGGCCTATGGATAATGATTTGCATCTCGGAGACTGTAGGTGTATTTTATAAGAAGAAAATCAAGCGTTGGAATCAGTTTTTTATTTAGATAGCCGGAGCAATAGAAAATTAAACGTTGGAATCAGTTTTTGATTTGGGTAGCCAGAGCAATGTCATGTTGATTCCTTGGTTGGACTCATGAATCCACACAATGGTTTGGATTTGATGAGTGCCTCAATCCATTGCAGGAGCATTTATGATCGTTGAGATCTGGAGAAAGTGCAACAAATATGCCGTCTGTTCAGCGGCTTGATGCCCTCTGTTCAGTTGTTTGACACGAGAGCCGCGAGGGAGCTCTGAAGATTTTTCTGATGTATATAGGTTGCAGTAGTTGGGCCCATGGTAACATGGCAGCTTTAGAAGCCAGGAAAATACTTTCGGGGGATCTTCTATTTGGTTACAGAAGATAGAAGATTTGGGTATATATCTCTTCCAAGATTTGTATTAGAAACATGTGTACATCATTAACCCAATAACGAAAAGGTAGATCAGGATACCATCAGACAAGAGGTCACTTTCTGAAGAAATTTATTAATTGGGATGCATGTGTCTAAGATAAAAAAAAAAAGAATTCCACACACGTCCCTGTTGCTGTGTCGTCGTTTCCCGGAAAACTACGCTTTCTTAGACGACTATAAAGTATGATTGGACATACAAGATACAACACAGCTCATGTAACAAACGCGATTCAGCTAGGAGAGGCGTGGTAAACTGAGATCGAGCTCACTGGCCGGGTGACATCCGCGCGGCTCCTTACGTACTCTACCAAGGAGTAGCTCGCTAGCTAGCCATGGCATGGCGGCGTCTTGTGTTTCGGATCAAAGGAGAGGCGTGCCCGTGGTAGCTCTGAGTTTGGGCAAGCCGATGCCGCGCATCGGCTTCGGCGACTCTGGGCCAGGCTGAGGGCCGCGCCGGCGTGACGGAGTCCGTCCTCAGCGCTCTCAGCGCTGGGTACCGCCACTTCGACACGGCGTCGGCGTACAACACGGAGGCCGCGCTCGGGGACGCCGTGATCCAGGCCGTGCGTGACGGGATTGTCGGCTCCCGCGAAGACCTCTACATCACGACGAAGCTCGCGGTCACCGACGCGCACCCCGGCCGTGTTCTGCCAGCGCTTCACAAGTCACTCCGGTTGGTTCTTGCAACACAGCTCATCATCGTCACTCTAGCTATTTGGTTGGTTTGGTTCTTCATAAGAAAAGGTCAAAAACGATGATCTGTTTGCGCATGCATATGGTTCATTTCGATCGTCAGGAACCTGCAGATGGAGTACGTGGACCTTTATCTCATTCACTTTCCGGTGAGCATGCGGCCGCCGGTGGTGGAAGGAGGCCTGCCGGTGGTGAAGGAGGACCTGGTGGAGATGGACATGAAGGGGGTGTGGGAGGAGATGGAGGAGTGTCACAGGCGAGGGCTTGCGAGGGCCATTGGCGTCAGCAACTTCACCTGCAAGAAGCTAGAATACTTGCTATCCTTTGCAAAGATCCCCCCGGCTGCCAACCAGGTGATGATTCCCATTCCAACTGGAAAAAGAAGCAAACTACTGTTGAAGACGAGCAACTCTGCAACTGCATGCACGCATTTCTTGATCAACTACCTTGTAGTGGTAGAAGCAGGCAACCCAGGCACACATTAAGCTTGCTCATATAATTAAAGTTATCTGGAAAAACATTGTGTAACCAGTAGAATTCCTAATCATTTACCACAATTCCTTTACAATAGGTCTCATGTACGTAACCTATTTCTCCTCCTTAGCGCGCTTTGTGGCACATCTTGTAAAACTTCTCCTGTTTAATATAAAGATACGCAAACCTTTTGCTTATTCGAGAAAAAAACACAAATAAGCAATTAGGAATTGTTCGTTCATCTTTTTCTCATTCGGAGAACAGGTGGAGGTGCACCCACACTGCCGTCAGAACAAGCTAAGGGCATTTTGCACGGAGAAAGGAATCCAACTCTGCGCATTCTCACCGCTTGGTGCCAAGGGCACGGCATGGGCTAACAACTCCGTCATGGAGTGCCCTGTCCTCAAGCAGATAGCCCATGAAAAGGGCAAAACCGTTGCCCAGGTAAATATTATGTTGCTATAAGACGCAAAATATAATATCTATTATCCCTCCAATTTTTTTACATGACAGTTTAGGACAGTTGAATTTATTTTAGAAAGGTCATATATAAAAATGGACAGAGTAGCACACTCTGGCAATGCTCACTGTACAATTACATTACCTTTCCATAGTTTATTATCCTTTTAGTGTAAAAGATTGCTTCCCACTTCCCGCCGCAGCAATAAACTTGAGAAAGGTCATATTTTTAGCATGTGTTTGGTTCAGGGTTACAGTGGGTTGGGTTGGGTCATATCAGTTTTTGGGGCTGTTTGATTTGGAGAACATCTGTGTTGGGTTCGTCCCTACTGAGAATATGCTCCGTAGATGCGGGTTGACCCTGTTCCTCCAAATGGGAGAAACCGGGCGAACCCACTTCGCTTGGGCATATGTGCGGGGCCGCACGGAGCAGCTGTGTGGCAGCCATAGCGTGCGGAGGAGTGGCAGAGGCGAGCTGCGTGGGAGACGAGCACGAGCAGCCAAGGGCCGCACTCGCGTGGAGGAAAGCGACCACGTGTGCGCTGGAGTGGCGGGCCGCGCGAGCGGGCTGTGACGGTTCAAGCGGCAGTGCGGCGTCCAAATCAAGCGGTGGCGCGGCTACCGAGTACGTGCTGAGAGGAAGGAGGGGATAGAGATTGACGTGTGGGGCCCATGTGGCAGGGATCTCAACCCATGTCCCATATATCTAAGAGCAAATAAGAAACTCAAGAAACGAGTTCACTCCATTTCAAAAAATTAGGGATGGATCCAACTCAACCCAAGAAATCCTATAACCAAACACATGCTTAAAGTGCATTATATTATACAAAAATCTTAGGTGCATAATAGTACAAGCTAAGTGAATGCAAAGATTAAACTTTCGGAACCAATTATTTACAAACTACTTTTCTCCTATCGAGTTGCAGGTGTGCATTAGGTGGGTGTTTGAGCAGGGAGATTGCGTCATCGTAAAAAGCTTCAACGACAAGAGGATGCGAGAGAACCTCGACATACAGCCTGTTCGGTTGGCTGGTTCGTTTCGTTGCTGATTCGTGAAGAAGTACTGCTGACTGGTTTATGTGAGAGAAAAATATTGTTCCGGCTGAAAATTTACGATCGTTTACGACAAGTCACAGTCAAAAGAACAGGCTGATATTCGGCTGGGAGCTAACGGAAGACGACCTTCGCAAAATTAGCTGCCTCCCAGAATCGAGGGGAACCTTAGATTTCTTCGTCCATGAGTCCGGGCCTTTCAAAACCGCCGAAGAGTTTTGGGACGGTGAAATCGTTGCTGGCCAATCCGCTAACCAAATTGCTGTCCGCTTGGATCCAACCAGCTTACAGTAACTGGACTTAAATGGATTTCCAATTACACAGTCTTCATCGGTGCCGATCTTCTTACAGTTGAGAGTTCCGTCGATTAAATGTTAGGTACAACGCTATTTTAGTCTTATATGACAAATTGACTAAATATTAACTCAACTTAAATAGATGACTCCTGTATGTATCAGTTGTGAAGTTAGGAGAGACGAAAGCATATCACACGCCACATGTGTGCCAACATGTGAGCCTCCGATCCATGACTTGGTGCCTGGTAGGATGGTTTTTATCACTTGAGCCAGTTGATGAATGATGACACATAGTGGCTCCATTCGTTTCGCTGAAAAAAACAAGCTAGAATATTGTTCCGACTGATTTATTGTAAGAGAAAAATACTATTCCAGCTAAAAAAATAAATAAAAAATACGAATTATAAGACAAAGGAACAGGGTCTGTAACCGTAATGAATAACATCCAGCCTCGGGTTCGCTTGCGAGCATAACCTTAAGTTCCCACGCTTCTCTGTTGTCGTTGCTCTCTGTCTCCTGCACACATAGGCTTGTTGGATGAGCAGGCCTGGTACTGAGGTACTCTGTCCGCAGCCACACTAGCACGCGTAGCGACCAAATCAAGCTTTTTGGGAGCACTTCTTCACATAACTGTTTGATTGTGTTCCTGGCACGTTCTAGTACACGGAGGTGATTGACTACTACCCGGTGGGTGTTCAGGGACTATACCGCGTACCTCTTCCTGCATCAATTATGAACGACATCGGAAAGCTGACTACATCAACTAGTAAAAGAAGTACCACCGGTGCCTTCGACACTGGTTCTGCCTTTAGGGATGAATTAGGATTGGATTAGCATGGAATCAAAGTCAATATATCGCTATTTACCACATTTTTATTCGAAAAATGAATTTCAATAGCACTATTTACCACATTATTGAATGCGAACACAAAATGGATATCTTGAATTCGTAGTCCCATTCGGATATCTACTGCATTTTGACAACAACATGTATCAATATGCTTATCGATAGTTTTATTTGAAGAAAATCATTATGGATGTAAAGATTTAAAATATGATTATATAACACCTATAGACAACAACAAATCATAAAAATCACATATATATTACTAAATATTTTAATAATTAAATATATCAAAAATCAAGAAACTATGGACAAATATTTATCAACAAATAATTTAAAATATATAAAAATAATTTCATCATATATGAATAACTGAAGTGCTTAAAATTAATATGATTATTAGCCATATTAAAATTAATTAGATTTAACCTTGATATATCATTAATAATATTAAAATTAATATAATGTCATTTGTTATATTAAAATTGGTATCATTTACTTTATTAATTAGTCATAGATATAAGTTTTAGATGGTTTTATTGGGTACTTTGTTCTTCAATGTTAGATATTTCATATTTTTTCTTTTTTTTACTACAGATCTAGAATCGGATAGTGAAAAATGGTAGAAAATGAATTCAGATACACCTATTTAGTATCCATATAGATATTCATATTGACATTAAAATGAATATAGATATTGGATCTTTCAGATACTTTAAATCTAGATCCATCCCTACTACCTTCCTCTAGGTATATCACCCCAACTCTTGTTGCTTTATATTTTTTTCATATGGTAACTATAGATATTGGAAGTATGTTAGTCGTATGCAAATTAACAAGATCACCATTGGATATATTATTTGTCACGTATATGCTATTTTTCGGATTAAAATGTGCAGTAATTTGCCTAAATTTCTAGCCATCCAAAACTTTATAGATATTCCTTTTTGTCCATTGGCTTCGCTACTCCACTTTAGCCAAATGTTTTTATTGTTCATATTTCAGAATACAACGAGATCATAAAAAGTGCATAATGTGGTTTATACTGCTACGTGTGTTTTTATGTCGCCACAGGCAAATCGATTAGCCCTCTCTCCTCATGAGGAGTGCATATTGTTGGTAGAAAGTATTGTGGATGTGTACATGTTATTGCCTTCATGCAAAGAGTTATGAGAAACCCGTACCAGAGTGTAAGGAAAATGGACCTCGGCCAATTTAGTTCGGATTTTGGTATTTGATGATCAACATAATTAAGTTGGACTACCGTATTTGCAAATGTTTATTTTATAGTGCAATTAGGATGCAAACGCGGATTGGACCAAGATTGGAACGTGAAGAATATAATCAATATTTAAAGGAAGACGCTAGAGGGTGTGTGATCAACGTAGAAGTGAAGCTAGGAGTCCAAGACACGAAGATGAAGAAGCCCGCAAGAAAGATCGCGAAGAAATAAACAAAGGGCAAAACTCCAGCTGGCACTGCCATGTCCAGTGCCTGGCACCGGATAGCACTGTGTGCACCGCACAGGCACCGCCCTATTTTTTGCACGTGACACACTTTCATATTTTGGGCATAACAATTAAATCCGAACTCCGATTTGGATGATCTTGGACTTTTCGGAAAGCTAATGAAAAGTTCTACATCAGTGAATAGCTGGTCTTTGGTTTTGAGCTGAAGAGGGCACCGCCATGGTCACCGGACTGTCCGGTCATGGCACCACCCTAATTTTCCAGAGCACCATTTTGGGGGGTTTGGCCTGGGTGGTCACTGCCACCCCTAGAGCGGTGCACCGCCACCCTATGTCCGGTACCCACCTGTCCAATGGCTAGTTTGAAATAGCCATTGTAATTCGATCGTTGAGGCACCACCACCCGATGTCCGATCCCCACACGTTGTTGTCCGGTGACAACGCAGAAAAGTGGATCACATCTCCAACGGCTAGCTCTCCACTTGGGGGCTATAAATACCACCTCAACCGGCCATTTGGAGTAAGAGGGAGCTGAGGGAAGATAGGAGGGTGTTTTCATACCTCATTTGTGCTCTCCACTTGCATAGGGCTTAAAGAATCACTTGGAGATTAGCGTAGGTGCTTTGCGAAGCGCTTAGGTTAGTTAGACCACTCTCATATGCGTTTGCTCTAGTCTTAGATCTAGTTGCTAGTGAGGTTTGCATACCACTCATCCAAAGGTGGTTGCGCGCACCATGCTTGTACTCGGTGGGGCTTGTAGTCTTGCGAGACCACACCAACCGCATTTGTGGTGTGGCCGCCACCGTGTACCCAAGGGAACAAGGCCCGTGGCGTTTTGACCTGGAAGCTTGATAGTGAAGACGGCGGGGAGCGCTCGGGAGAGGCTTGATGGAAGGCACACCGGAGACCCACTTGTGCGTGGGGAAGGACCGGGGCTATCCACGGAGTTACCTGACCGGGAGCTTGGCCCTTGCGAGGGGCTCCAACGAGGACTAGGTGGAATCTTGAGCGCTTCTTGATACCTCAGTAAAAATACCGGAGTCGTCGATGGGAGTTTGCATCTCTACCTCATCTTTACCTTCCGCAATTACATTGCTACCTTGGTTGTGTGCTTTGCTTCCCTAGCTTAGCTGATAGGCTAGTTGATAGGATTGGAACCTAGGTTGCATACTCTTTTACGGTAGAGATAGCAACATACCTAGCAGAACCATAGTTGCACATTTAGATAGATTACTTTCTTGCAATGGTTTTGACTAGGGGAATTAGAGGTCTTAGTTAGAAGTAGAATTTTAAGTTGCCTAATTCACCCCCTTAGGTGTTATGGTCCCTTACAAGTGGTATCAGAGCCGGTTGGCTCAATTTGGACCTTTGGCTTCACCGCCATTGAGCTAACGCTATTTAGAGTGTGAAAGGTCCTAATGGCTAGAGGGGGG